CCTGGAATTTATAGCACATTTTTATTATTGTATGTTATTGGTTGTGATTGCGATTTTATTGAATTTTATTGTACTTTATGTATGGCTTAGGCCTCTGTAAGCTGCCCTGAGCCCGCTTGCAGGGTAGGGCGGGGTAGAAATACTCGAATAAATAAATAAATAAATAAAGAATACACGCTTTATTGATGCGGGATTGCCTTTTGCAGGGCTTTGGTAGCAGCATTTCCGTTTCTCAGATCATTTTTTCCTCCCATCAACTTCACAAAAGGAGTTGTGCAAATTGTCATTCCTCAGGACCCCTTTTAGGACAGGAGACTGGATCAGATACACCATTTGTCCCCATACTTAGGTTCTCCTTGTAAGGTATGAATAGTCTTGGGGATTATACAAATGCACAGCTCCAAAACTGTGTCTGCCACATTTTATGTGATTTCAACTGAAAATGGAATTAAATGGGCACAGAACACGCTCCACTCATTCTAAGGATTTAGAAAAACAAGGTGATAAATATGTATGCAAATTATCCTTCAAAACAAGCAAAAATAGTGTAACCTTAAAAAACTAGCATATACTTTGCAAATGGATTAGGTTGGGTGTAGACGTGCAGTAGAATGAGACAGAGATGAGGAGGCGGAAGGGACAATACCAATTCAGACCACAGGGGTGGGATTACATTTTTCGAAGTTCTCTTTCTCATCATTTGAATGGTTTTCTTTCCCTGACAAAGTTGTTGCAAGATAACAATTGTGTCTGCCCTTTTCCAAACAATCATTTTTCTGGACATAACATCTTGGCTTATTTCTACAGAAATTGGTGTAAATTAGATTTCCACTCTGATGGCAGAGATAATGTTATCAGAAGGTAAGTGGAGAGATGGAAGGGGCTGGTGGAGACTGCAGCCATCGTTTTAAATGTCCTTCAGCGAACGGCACTGTAAGACTCCAAATGTCACATTTCTACTCTTCACAACCTTAATTAAACTTGACATTGGAAAGGTCATTGTGCCCTGCCTTGCTGCAACCCACACACTGCTGGCTTGACAGCAGTGCAGGAAACCTGCTGTAAACAAGATTTGAACTCCCATGAAAAGAGCAAGACAAAGTCTTACAATTATGATTTGACACTGTGGCTATAAAGCAAATAAAACTAGTGACTAATGACAATAATAATTTATATAGCATTTTGAAGGGCTGCCTGTATAATGGTTGCCAACCTCCAGGTGGTGGCTGGAGATCTGGGATTACAACTGATCATCAGGCAACAGAGATCAGTTCAACTGGAGAAAATGGCTGCTTTGGAAGGCGGACTCTATGGCATGCTCCAGGGGTGTCAAAAATAAGGTCCAGGGGCCAGAACAACTCGTGCAAGGGAGGGAACAGACGACTGCTTGGGGAGGGGAGTGGGTGGAGCCACTCCAATTGCGGCTTCAGCATGGCAGAATAACCCCGCCTGCCGCAGTCAAGTACCGTGGGAGTGTGTGCCCAGTATTGCACTGCTGGCTCTCCAGTCTACACCCCCTCCTAGCCCAGGGGGCCTTGCAGTGAGGATACACCAACTTGGAACTACAAGCTGCTGTTCTTTATACAACTTATACCTCTGGTACCTGGCATTACATTTTATGGCACTGTCAGCTATGCTGCCATGTTTATGGGCAAGAGTGCATCTGCTCCAACTGCTGCCGCATTCCTTCATCCTTGCTTATCTATGACCTTGCTAGCTAGATGCCTGTGTAGTGTCTTCCCATCTATTACCCGTGGGATAAGTTTCAATACCCAGCTTTGGCTTTAACGGCCTGGGGCCCCATTCTCCCGCGGGAGTCAGGCCAATTGGCCTAGGAGTGGGGTGCATGCATGCGTACGAATACCCTATATCCCATTATGCTTGTAGGAAAGTAGCCATTCCTAACAGTGACGATGTTACTGCCTCTATAGCTCGTACAATAAAGTATAACCTTATGTTAAGCATGCACTCCTTTGTTTGGCTGTGGAACCTGACAGGCACACATGGCCCGGTCTCACAAAGTCACATTTATGTCAGCCCTCATAACAAATGAGTTTGACACCTCTGGCATCCCCCACTGAAGTCCCGCCCCCTCCCCCTCCCCAAACCTCCCCCTCCTCAGGCTCCACCCCAAAAATCTCCAGGTATTTCCCACCCTGGACCATATGCACATGATAGTTAAGGGTTTCAAAGGCTGTCAGCCAGCATTCCTTGATCTTCCTGACCCCAGAGATAGAAAGAATGGGCTGAGCTTTGTTGTGCATTCAGAGATGAATGTCAAATGCTCGTCATAGACTTTATTGACAGTTACATTAGCTCCTATGTTTGGAAAAGGGTATTTAATGAGTTTCGTTTTGTTCCTTGTTGTTCTGGCCAACCACCCTCTGGGTCTTGAAAGAGCAACCAAGGATATCCTTTATAGAATTTCAACAGCACTATTTATGTATTGGGGTTGTGTTGAAACATTCTATGTTGAATACTGAAATGCTACATAAAGTGTTTTCTGACTTAAGAGTGTGTAATAGAATAAATGGAGTTTTGGTTCAGAACAACTGTCTTTCTCTCTCTCTCTTGATGCAATTGGGAAGCCAGCTTCTCTCCCTCCCCAAAATGAACACAGTGGGAATGGGAGTACATGAAAAGGTTCCCGCACCCCTTCAGTATAGATGAGCTGGGTCGCATTAGGAGGGCAGCTGCCGTGATGCCTGGCTGTGCCACTCTTTGGGGATTTGGCCCAGGCAAAGTTTGTGGAAACAAGAGTCTGGTTTTGCTGAAAGGTTGATTTGTTGAAAGGAAATTCAAGCTGAATTGTGCAATTGTAGCAGAGGAACCAGTTTCTCCTCAGGCTGTCCAACCAATGCACATAACTGTCCGATTCATTGTAGCTCCTAGATATTTTGAAATAACAGTTTTGCCAACGAACAAGCTGGTTCTTATATCTTTATTTAATCCATTCAAAAAAAAATAGAGAGAATGATAAGGTGGGCACATGTTGTGAAAGAATACAAAGTTCACATCTCTTTACACAGAGCTGGTTTCAATCCATAGATTAAAGGGATGAGATAATGGTGTCTTTTGAGACAGAGATTATTTATAACTCTTGTGAAAGGACAGATCTGCAGTTAAGCATCAACACAGCTATAATCTGACTCAGGAGAGCTTTCTCTCTTGTCTAGAAAAATAGAAGTACCTTTTATATTTTCTTTTAAGGTCAGGAAGTCAGATGTAGAGAAGGCAGAAGATCACAGTTTTGAAAACAACGGCAAGATTCAACCAGGGACAATCTCTGTTGAAGTTAATGGGAGCAAGTGAGGGCATGAGCCTTGTATGGGAATGGGAAACATGCCCTGTGGACCATTCCTAAAATGCTCAAAGACACTGTATTCCCCAAACCCAGGAAATGTCTGTGGACACAGGAGCAGTGATTCTCTCTTCAGCAAAATTCAGGTGGGGTAGCCGTGTTGGTCTGAAGCGGCAGAACAAAGTTAGAATCCAGTGGCACCTTTAAGACCAACAAAGTTTTATTCAAAGTGTAAGCTTTTGTGTGCAAGTGCACTTCGTCAGAGCCAATGAAATGAAATCTCCTCAGGTCCCACTTACAGCAAAAAGACGGTGGGAGCCAGTCATTAGGAAGGGCCAGTCACAGCCAAGATGCTTACCTTACCGGTCACCTGATTCACTTTCAGCCCTACTTATGCATCTTGGTTGTGACTGGCCCTTCCTAACTGCTGCCCCCCACCTTCCCCCCCTCTAAGTGGGGCTTGAGGAGATTTCATTTAATTTCATTTCACTGTGTTGAGGAGGACAGCAATGGGCCGACACGTAGTATGGAACTGACACCCTCCATTTTCTGCAACCCCCCTAGGAGGGTTGTGGAAGCTGAAATGTTTCCACCATCTTGGAATGGATTATTTTATTTGTTGATATACCGTATGTATTATGTATTTTACTCCTGGATTTAACTTACCTTAATTTAATTACTGTATTTACCTTTGTTGTAAGCTACCCTGAGCCCTGCTTGCAGGGAAGGTCAGCTTAAAAATCTAAATAAATAAATATACTTTGAATAAAATTTTGTTGGCCTTAAAGGTGCCACTGGATTCAAATTTTGTTCTCTCTTCAGCAGTTTCAGTGTATGTATGTGCACTGATGTGAATGAATACTTCTTCTGTTGCTGTGAATGAAGGGGGGGGGGACACCCTGTGTGTGCTCATGTATTTTATGTATACATCACAGTGCACACAAAGCCGAGGACTGGGCTTTCAAGCTCCTATCCTGGTGCAAGTGGACATCATGTCTAGCAAAATTCTAAATAATGGTGCACACACTATTCCTAATGAGGATTTAAGACTGGAACAGTAGCTGGGTTAACTGGTTATCCATTTCCTTAACAAACAAAAAAAGCAGCACATGTTTTTACAATTGCATTTTCCACTGCCATTAAATGTGAAGGGAAAACAAGGCTGAATGGGCTGAGATGGGCAGCTGTTTCTCACCATACCTTAATACTAACGTAACAGCTGTGTGATGTTGCAGTATGAATGGGTGGGAAATGGGCTGCTCAGAATCCAGAGGACAGGAAATACTGGATTTCTTTGCAAAGAGGAGGGAGGATGTGAGATTTCTGCAACAAGACTGGGGAATGATAGGACACGAAGGGGATGAGCTACCCTTTGTACTACGAAAGGGGCAAGGTCACTGGCTGCAATCCTTTATGTGCATGTCTGGCTTGGCGTTTCTTTTATGTTTCTCCCGCAGCAACTTGGAACTGCTGAACAGACAAGTTGCTTGTCAGTGTACACTGCTATTTACCTCTTCAGCAGCATGGTGGAAACGGGGATATGAAACCTTTCTCTGCTTGCACTGTTCTCTGACATGGGCACACATAACTTTTAAACGTTTGGGTGTTTTTGATCAGGTTGCATATTAAGCTGTCCACAGTAAAACGGGGACAAACATTATGTGGCAATAGAAAGCAAAAAGAAAATCAAATTGTGATTTGCAAGGTCTTGTGGGTCATTAAGAATTCAGTGAATCTGAAGCACAATCCACCCCACTCACACAATTGCAAGCACATTAATGCTTCTGTTCAAACCAGTAATGGCCGAACTTTTGCTTTCCTGCAATGTCAGGATTCTTACAGGATTAGATTTTCAATCCCCTTCTCTCCCTGCTAGGTGTAGAGGGCTGTGATACTACATTGCAAACACAGATTAGTCAAAGCTAACCTTTTCAAATTCATAGGAAGTTTAAGTTGGGGAAGAGGAAACAATCAGGTTTCAGATAATGGCTGGACATTTTGAATTTTGGACAGAGTGACAGGTATCTTGGATTCGCCAGGTGCCGGGGCTTTTGTGACTGGGTGTGTGTGGGCTTTCATGTCTGCTATTCGCTCTTTAAATTTCTGTTGTAGGTACTTTTCTTCTTTGGAGTAGCTTTTGGCAAACGCAGACATTAACAAGCAAGCCGCCATTGTGGTCCCTCCAATGCAAAACAGAATTGCTCCTGCCAACTTACATACATCAAGGGCTCTGTTAAACTGAACAGCCCGTGTATCCACCACTACGAAATCTTCAACACCCAGGGCTTCAATTTTGGGGGGCACCAGAAAACCTACTATAAGAACAATGATCCCGATCAGCATAAACACTGTCCCAGAGATGAGTCCGACCTAAAAAAACAAAGACATTTTGGCAATCAACAAAGCTGCTTTAGTAATTCTTTAATGTTACTAAACAGATATGACATGTCACTGAAATCTGTCATCATCCCATTCATCAGGCATAAATGCTAGAAGTGCCTTAAGGCAGCAATCAAATTGAATTACAGTGGGCAGATGATTTTTCACACATTCACTGTGTCCATAAATAGCCCATGCATGAACCATCAATGAGGATTCTGCCGGGATGTGTGCAGAAACAGAATATGTACTTGTACAAAAACACTTTTCAAGCTGAGTCAGGAAGAGGTCATTAGAGGAACAATCCTAAGCAGGTCTACTCAAAAGTAAGTCCCACTTCACTCAGTATGGCTTACTCCCAGGAAAGTAGATTCAGATGGGTAGCTGTGTTGTTCTGAAGCAGTAGAACAAAGTTTGAGTCCAGTGGCACCTTTACAACAAACAAAGTTTAATTCTGGGTATAAGCTTTCGTATGCATGCACACCTGAAGAAGTAAGCATGCACATGAAAGCTCATACCCAGAATTAAATTTTGTTGGTCCTAAAGAGGCCACTGGACTCAAACTTTGTTCCTGGGAAAACGTTACAGTCAGTGCTTTGAGTCCCGTTGATCAGCAGAAAAGTAGGATATAAATATTTTAAATTAAATAAACCCAACTATTTATATTGTGGTGTGTGTGAAAAAGAAATGGGGTGCAAGATTCACAACATGACTCAATGATCTGATCTTTGACAAATATAAGGTTCAATTGCAGCAAAGTAGAAAAATTACTGCAGTTACTTGTCCCAAGCCTGAGAACCAGAAGTGTTACTGCAAAGAGAAAGGTTTCTAATATCTACCTCCCATAATATTCTGAAGCAAGTTTAACAGAAGTTGAATATTGATTTTGATTCAAATTCCTGCCAAACATGAATGTGATTCTTTGTTTTGTTTATCAGATTTATATCCTGCTCCTACTCCCCCGAATGGGACTCGAGGCAGCTAACAACATATAAAGTACACCAGATAAAGCAGTACAGAAGATACAGTAAATAAACTTTCAAACTATAAAACAATTAACAATCTTTCAAGGTGAAAATTCTCGCAGCTATCAAACAGGCTAGGCTGAATGGATTCTGGAGACACATCTGTGATGTGGTGCGTGATCTCAGTTCCCAAAGTGTAAAAAGTGTGTGTGTGGGGGATGACCTGTGCCAAAGGTTGTGGTATGGATAAATACAACGTTAAGTCCACATTCCAATGCCACATGACACTCCCGTAAGTCTCCTTAAATTAATATACTTCAAGATCTACGAATTCAGCATACAACTACATATTGTAGGTACGCTCAGTACAGTCTGGTGTTTCCTGTCATTTTAACATCATCATCTAAGAATGGTGAATAATATTTCTGAATAAATCACATATTCCCTCTGTAGTATAACTTGTCAGACAGACACAATTGTAATTCAGGGCAATCTATTGATATATCTTGATGGTGAAAGGAAGGTATATTCTTCACTTGAAATATGGTTATCCATTTTAAATGAATAATTCACCATAACTGGGGAAGAAGGGAGGAAAAATTTGTCTCAATAGTTTGTGTCAATTCATCCTGAAGGAAAAAAAAATCAAGATTGCCTCAAATAAAGACTTTTCTTTTGAAAGGTTGGCCTACCAATATATCAAATTCTCAGTGCGACCAAAACTGTGGATATTTAAATCCAGAGACTGAAGCCATGAACAGACAAGACAGATCTTTCTACAAACCTGTACCCCAGGTTTGCAAAAAACCCTGAAATCTAAAAACAGTATACTGGGTGGGGGTTTAAAATCTCCTAAATAAACAGCTCCTGTGGCTTTAAGAAACAAATGCCCTGTGGGGTCATTACTAGGCAACCACACGCAACTGGGCCTTACTCGGCTGCCTCCACATAACTTGGCCAGAGTATTCCCTGTGACGGGGAGGGGAAGCTGAAGATGTGGGGGGCAGATAAAAGTAGGTTGGATGGTGGGTGGGAAGGAGAGAAGGAAGCAGGAAATGGGAAGAGGCTATAGGGTCTTTCAAGGAGGGAGAAGAGGAAATAGTAGGGAAGGGGAAAATGAGACACCCCCTGCAAGCCCTTGCAGATGCCTCACTTGTTGTTTCTAATTTTCTGTAATACGCCTCTTTTTCTATATAGTCGCTTGTTCATGGATTTCATGAAATAAGATATTCCCACTTCCCTCTCTTGCAGCCCACGGAATCTCCTCAAATTTTGTTCGGGGGAGGGTGTGTCACTGGATCCTCCAGTACATCATCAAGGGCAAAGTGGAGATCTGCAGTGGGAGGCGAATTAGTTCCCCCTGTGCCACAAATTGAAATGCCATTCTGTCTGAGGAACTAGTGCATGGATACATGCCAGGGACTGTGGTCTAGGCCTCCCAACTTGTGACCAAATGTGGCTCACCAGACTTCTGTTTTGCTGCCAGCCTAGCCTTTAAAAACAAGGGGAGCTGGTCACAGAACACAGAACTGATGGGCTTTGTTCACCATTTTGGACAACTGTAAGTTGTCCAGCTATCAGACAATCATTGCATAGCTGTACCTTCCAGAATGCAGAGCTCCACCGACTTGGTGATCTCTGGATCTGAAAATCATCCTCATACTCCCAAATGGATGCTGTGCAGTCCTCGTAAAACTGATGCAGATAAGAGCGAACTCCATAGCGCTGATAGTTATTCTCCGTAGTGCCTTGCTTTGCCTCATTGGAAGCACAGATATCAGCATAAGCACTCATCCTTCACACCTGTACACACGCACAAAAGAAGACATTTCAAAGTAAGGATGGTCTTTTGTTAGAGAAGAGATCCCGTGTAGATAATCCAATGAAAGATATTATCTTACTATATTAGTTGGTGCTTAAAAATGCACTATGATAAAAACACCACATACACATTCCTATTTACGCCCAACAAGTCCCAATAGCCCTGAATATGCTTGTTCCCTCTAGGATCAATATGATTTGACAATGACTAACACTTTGAAGAACATCCTGGGATATTTACAAATGAATCCTGTAAAGTTTCATAAGCTATACTTGATAAGGACATAAGAAAATTCTGATGGATCAGACCAATAGTCTACCTAGTTGACACATTCATTGAGCTATCTACTATAACCCCATGGTCTCTTTCTCTCTCAGCCTCAGCAAGTTCAGATCCCACTAGCATATACTTAAAGCTGGGTTTTTTTTGTTCCAGTGTATGTCACTTTACACTCACCTAATAAGATGTCATCTCATAACAATACATATTGAAAGTTATTGTCTGAATTCAGGGTCAGATATAAAAAAAAGTCATGCTATTAAGGAAAGTTTGGCCATGGTTCCAACTTATGCTCTACTGTTCCGGCAAAGAAAGCCATATTTCAGTGACAGAGCACATGTGTTGCACTCATGATATGAATGAAGTCTCAGCTGCAGTTATCAGCACCTCCTGTAAAAAGACTCTTGTTTAAAAGGACTGGAATAGACTTTTGTCAGAGACCTCAGAGAGCTGCTCCCGATCCAAGTAGCTTCAGTCATCTCAACATAGGATGGACTCTAGTTATTTTTAGGCCTTTAATTTTGGTCCTCTGACTACATATAACTGCAAGACTCCCAAAATGCATGGTTGCCATTTTGAATAGTTGTATTTGTTGCTCTAATATCTAGGAAGGTTATCCAGACACAGAAGGTCTGGAACAGCATGGGGAAATGTGTCCCGTCTGCACAATGAGCTGGTAGGTGCAAATAAATTGGGCAAGTGGAGACAGCAGCTTTCATGTGGCAGCTATATTGTGTACACAAATATATACTATACACAAAGCAGATGGTGAAAACAGTATCCATAGAACTATCTTCAGGCTAGAGAAGATTATCTAGAGAGATGCTGAAAATAACGTCCGACTCTTAGGCGGTAAGAAAGGAACTGGGGTGGGGGCGGGGTCTATCTCACCTCCAAGCATGCGCAGTGGGACATGCTCGCGAGGAAGGAGGATGACCCCGTGGAGAAGAGGTTATCCTTGAAGCTTTCTAGGCTTCCGACGAGGGATCGACGCAGGCGTAAATCCCAGTGTGTGGAATGCACAGAGACCACGAAGAAGATTGTACAATCACCTAAAAAGGACACAATCCTCTGAGTTAAAAGCCTAGGTAAAAATAAACATTATGGCTTTGACAGTAAGGTCAATGCCCAGCGTGCTTCAAGAAGGTGGACGTTCCAAAAGCGAATGCATATAGCGAGCACATTTAAATATGACATGGCGCACATGAAATACTTAAATGGGTAGTGTTTTACTTCTGATCCATGACACACACCTGTTCTGAGGACTCCATATCCTCCCACAACTGAACACCGCATTTTTTGCCACTGTCCCCTGCACTTGCCACACAGGGCATTTAGGCAGATCCCAAAGCTCAGTGGTGGACAGTGTTCCCTCTAAGCTGAGTTAGTGTGAGCTAGCTCACAGTTTTTTAGCCTCCAGCTCACACCTTTTTGTCTTCACTCACAAAGGATGGCTCCAGAGCATACTAATTTATGCAGCAGCCAAATCACCTGCTCACACCTTTCACTCCAGTAGCTCACAAAAGTAGAATTTTTGCTCAGAGGGCTTCATAGCTTAGAGGGAACATTGGTGGTCGAGGGCATGATTTGCATGCAGAAGGTCATAGGCAAATCAGATAACAAGGCTGAGAATGGTCCCTGCCTAGGAACTGAAGAACTACCACTAGTTAGGGTGGACATTATAAGGCTAGATGCCCTGCCTCAATAGAAGGCAATCACATACACTAAATAATCCACTTTCAATGCACTTTCCAACTGGATTTTGCCAGTTCACAGCTCTGTTTGGTGTAGTGGTTAAGTGCGCGGACTCTAATCTGTGATTCCCCACTCCTCCACTTGCAGCTGATAACTGACCTTGGGCAAGCCATAGTTCTGTCAGAGCTGTTCTCTCAAGGACAGTTCTGGAAAGAGCTCTCTCAGCCCCACCAACCTCACAGGGTGTCTGTTGTGGGGAGGGGAAGGGAAAGGAGTTTATAAGCTGCTTTGAGACTCCAAGTGAAGGGTGGAGTATAAATCTAATCTCTCCTCCTCCTCCTCCATCAGTGGCTATTAGCCACAAGGTATAGATAGGGGCTCTGGGGCAAGTGATGCTCTGTCTTCTTGGTGCGTAAACCCATTTGCGGTTCTGAATAACAAACAAACAATCTCTTATCTTTCCTAAAACTGTGAGTTCTAGATAAATAAAAACACAAAACTCTGCTCCTGGCCCCACTGGTGGACCTCCTGATGGCACTGGTATTTCTGGCCACTGTGTGATACAGAGTGTTGGACGGGATGGGCCTTTGGCGTGATCCAACATTGTTCTTATGTTCTCCTCCTCTTCTTCTTCCAAATTCTCATTTTTGTCACTCATTTGTCCCTATCGCTTTGGGTCCCCCCCTTTCCACATGTGTTTTGCTCTCTCTGGGGACTACTAGAGAGAGCAAAACAGAATTTGGTGGAAAACCCTTCTGAAGCAATAGGAACACATAAGTGATGAAAATCAGAATGTGGAGGAGCCATAAAAACCAGCTGGAAAGTGCACTGAAAGTGGATTATTTAGTGTCTGTGATCGCAGCCTTCGTGTGTTTCCCATCGTCACAAAGTCCTTGGTGTCAGAAAGTTGGTCCCTCGGTATTTTCTGCATCGCAGTGGCCAGCCCTGTTCATAGCTCCTCTGCCTAAAGATCTCAAGCTACGTGCCTTGGAGCACTGCTGCTGAGCAAGGCCAAGAGAACAGAGGAGACTGACTAGGCCTGTGAAATAAACGTTTGCAAGGCAGGCAAATCCATTCCTCTAATGTCTACAAACGGAAGCCCCCAACAGTCTTGAAAGGCTGAACTAGCTCATTAACTGGCAACTGAAATATGACATTGTTTTGACAAGGCTACATGTTCTGTTGCAGATGTAACTCGGAAGCAGCATTGCCCGAACGGTTGTCGTTAAAATGCAACAGAATGGTTATAATCGCTATGGCTCTGAGCAATTTTTGAGATGCTTCTACTGCATTGATTGACCTTTCTTCCTGTTTTGCATTTGGCATGGCTATGTGAATAAGCAAGGATGAGTAAGAACAGCATCAGCATTTAGAAACCTTTACCTGAATTCCTAAAAATAGCGTTTGCGTTCCTTTTAATAGAACTCATTGATTCGAAAGCAAGGTTTCGTCTCTTTGACTCTGTTTCTAAATTTAATTTCATGCAGCCGGTTGTACTTCCAGCCTCCCTCCCGTGTAGTGATTACAGCAGCCAGTTACAAAATACCTGCCCTGCATATATAACCTGTGATGGCGAAGAACTCCAACTTTTTCATTTAAATTATACACAAACCAGAAAGAGATCGCAATAAAATGAAAGAGCCAAGTACACCAGTGGCTGCTGATGTTTCTATCACTATGACAACAATCCCCAAAACCCTTGGACTACTTTCTGTCAAGGTTTTGGGTTAAGGTGCATTATGTTCCTGCCTGCTGTGCGTGATATTTTCTCTACTACCTTAGGAATGGCAGTGCTTAATGAAATTCTTTCTTTCTGCCCAGGACTATCTTTTCCTTGTGGGCAATCAAGAAGTTCCAATATCCCAGAGGCCTGAAAGAACACACAGTCATCCTCTCTAGGTAGAGAGAAACCACAGGTTGTTTTATGTACAACAGTCCCTAGTGCATGCAGAAGGTCATAGGCAAATCAGACGATGGTAAAAATTCATTGCAATGTTATGCCATGGCCATGTCCCTTTACAGCCTGCCAGCTGTACAGGCAGGCAGTTTAAGACATGACACTAGTAATTTAGAATGTGCCAATCAGAAGATGTGGCTAAAGGGGTGCAAGAAGTGCTGTACCAGTCCACTTGATGACCCATGTCCATGTTTGTACGAACAGCCACAACAAGAAGAGACTATTCAATTCGTTTTGAGATGTGTAGTCATTCCCCCCAATGATGTGTCCTGCTTTTGGTTTTTTTGCTCCAGCTTAACACCAGCATGGACCTCTTTGCTCCAGCTTAACACCAGTATAGACCTCTTACTAAATGTGGCATAGCTACATCACACAAAGGGGTTATCGGCACATAACTGAGGATGCAGAAAATTTGATAGAGGTATGACTCATGCTTCATCCTAGAGGTTTTCAGCCACAGAGGAGCTGTTTTAATCAGCGTAAACCTATGCACAAAGAACTGATGTGAGCAATCTGGGAGAACAGTCAGAGCTTTGCTGGCTGTTTTGTGTCATAGCAGCTTTTACTGCTGAAGTGACAAGCCACCTAAGAACCCAAACAGAGCCTGTCTCTTCAACAGCGAGATCTACTGCAGGAAGATTGGTTGGATCTCATTTTACACCAGGCTCTCCTTGCAACATCCCCTACTTTGGTATTTAACCAAGCCTACAGATGTACCATTCTCTGCATCTCAGGAAGTGAGCACTGACTTACAAAAGTGCACGGTGAAATAAATTTGGTTAGCTTTTAAGCTGCTACCCAACGCCTGTGTAATTTTGCTACAACAGGCAGACTGTAAATGAATTCCTTATTATGTGCATACATGTTTGCCTTGTATCTCTTTGGATCATGGCCCTCATTTACAGTGGTAAGTTAGTACAACGGAATAAAAATGAACAGAAAATAACCCAGTACAAGTATTCTATTAGACTCCTTCAAGATGCTAGTGTCACATTGTTGACTGCCTGTGTGAGACAGATCAACAATGGATATCCTTTTGGGGGGGTTGTA